CACCATCATGTCCTTGCTCTCCTCTGCAGCGGAGTCTCCTCATGTCCAACCTGTGCAGTGCCATGTGACCCCCATCCGAAGGAGAAGTGGTCGATCCTATACGAAAGCGACGCAACAAATAGGCACCCGCAGAGGACGGTGTACCCGCTGAAATCTACAACTTGTGTGTCGACGCTCTGGCGCCCTGGCCCCACAAGGGAACTGGGCAAGCGTGAAGAGACGAGTTTGGTCCTGATGACTGGGGCTTGGGCATCCTTGTACTTATCCTCTAGAAGGCAGATGGAACGAGGTGCGAGGATTGCTGCGACATAAGGCTCGTCGACCTTGTTGCGGCGGACTTCGCTGTTGTCCTTTTTAGACGATCCCAGGCTGTACGTGACTTAAGGACCAGGCCCAACCAAGCCGGGTTCCGTGATGGAAGTAGTTGTGTTGACCAGGTATTCACATTAAGGCGCATTCTTAAGTTCCGCCGTAGCTACCAACAACGGACGGCCGTCTGCTTCACTGACTTTGCCACCGCGTTCGATTCCGTCCGTCGTGAGTCGCTTTGGCGGATAATGGCACTAGATGGCGTACCGCCAATAATCATCGCCGTGATCAAAGCCTATTATCGCTCCACCACTTCGCGAGTTCTGGTCCATATCAATCTCTCTCAACCGTTTGGTATTCAGGGTTGTATCCTATTGCCCATTCTCTTCAGCTACGCTATGGACTGGATGCTCAGCAGGACCCTACATGAATGTGATGATGTTGCGTCTGCACCCGTGCACCGACTGACTGGTCACGACTATGTCCAGGATGTTGCCTTACTTTCATCAATTTTTGGTGATCTGCAGTCTACGGTGTCACAGGTGGACGAGGTCGCTAAATCGGTTGATTAATCCATAAACGCTGGGAAGGCCAAAGCGTTCTCAAGTTGCATCCCTGTCCAGGGTAAGGCATCTCTCGGGATTTATGGCCATCAAATTGAAGAAGTAGACAGTTTTAAACACCTCGGGGAGAGGCTGTGGCAGAATAGCCGGAGTAAGGATGACATTGTCCCCCGAACTGATGCTGCCCGACGGGTTTCCTCAAGCCTATGCATCTGATGCGACATCTCCATCGCCTCTATGATTCGCGTATACCGTCTGTCCTTCTTTATGGTTGTGAATGCTGGCTTGTGCGCGTGGAGGACGAGCGAAACTTGGAGGTATTTGGCCACCACTGCCTGCAGACCATCCTTCGAGTGAAGTACACCGACTTCGTCTGAAATGAGACGGTCCGCGGTCGCTGCGACAACATCGCACGGATAACCCAGGCTATCCAAGAAAGGCGACTGCGGTGATTTTGGCTCGTTCTTCGTCGTCCACCTCAGGAGCTCAGTCTTACTGTCCTCAATCTGACACCGTTATCCCATTGGAGGCGTCGAAGATAGGATAAAATCAAAATCTGACTCGGCACAGTTCGTCAAGTCATGGAGGTGGTTCTCGGACCTTCGTTATTCGGTCTCTGTCGTCGACAAATAGAATGAGTTGAACTGTCCAGATCTGCTGCCGCGGATCGCCACGCGTGGAGAGATGTAGTTTGGGACATCCTTGAGGACAGATATATCAGACATGATCGTAGCCGTACCGAGTACAAGTCTTGTAAACTTGCGTATTATTAACTTCACCAAGCTATAATTGTACAGTGACTGACTTGGTTTAAGGCCTGCAGGTATTGAACACACCCTGGTCCCCCATTCACGCGAAACTGACTCCACTAACTTCGATCAGTATAACGTCGGCAAGAGTTGTTGGAAAGTCAAATTGCGAATCAGCCACCGCACCGGGGCCCTCAATGTCAAGGATCAAACTATCCCGCCAGCTGGCAATCTTCAAAATGATGGCATTGAAGAGACCGTAACGCGCCAGTTTTCTCATAGCAACAGAAACGTCTGACTGGACCGATGTCATTCATTAAATTCCATGGAAAGATCTATTGGCGCCTCCTGGTGATAGTATCAGGTGCAGTAGCTGATAAGGCCTTTCATCCGAATTCTAACTCGTACATGTCCGTTTAGCCTTTGATTGGATCTACAAAACAACGCCATTCAATAAGACAGTCGAAAGTCGTGTAGTTGTCAGACGTCCGCTCACTTATGGCCTCCATAATGAGCTGCGTATAGCCTGCATGACCATACACCACCTAGATGAGAACACAAATCACCGGAGCGACAAGCACGGTCTGCGAATCCCTACACCATCAGCTGTTGCTGCGGGCTAAACAGCTCTTGATGACATATAAAGACATCAGTAAACTGTCTGCGTCACTCTACTGACTAGTAGACCAGTATACCAACACCAATACTGTTGTATACTAGTACTGGTGTTTAATCCAATGGACATGATGGTGCAGGCGTCGCCACACTTTTCAATCCAGTTAACTGCACGAGGCAATTAATTATTTTCTAGCACTAATAAATGGTCCAATTCAACCAGCATATGAGTAGTTCATTTCGATGTTAGGTCGCCACTGTGCCCTCCAAACGGGCCACGTGTTAGATGCGCTGGACCAACACGGGGGCCACATCGGACTCTGGCAGGCGTTATCTGTGCGCAATAACAAATGCCAACATTTGCGGAGTGCGCTGGCGGACCCTGTTGTCGGCATTCGTCGCACAACTGGACCACTGCCACTACCCCATTGTTATGTGGTCAAAATCCTGGTTATTTGCGTGTGGACCAAGGGGTGCGGAGTGGAGCGTCAAGGCGAGGATCCGTCCGAGCCATCCACCTGCGGCCTCCCCAGTCTCCGGTCTTCTTGACTTGGTCTTGACACCGGGCTCAGGCGGGCGAGGAGGAGAGAGTGTAGGTAGATGCTACGAAAGTCTACTGGCACTATAAACCCCTGCGTAAGTCACCGTCCCTGCTCCCACAATGCAGTCTGTGGGGCACACGGTGGACATCATCGAAATCGATGGTCGAACCGTCTAGGTCGCCACTGACCTCGCTAAGCTGATTTCGATCGAGGTATGTACGGAGCATCTAGAAAAACAGGAGGACTTTGATTCTGTTGTTCAGGCTAGCATTAGCTCCCTGTACTCACCCCAAGTGACTTCAGCCATATAAAGACCTTCTGATCTTTACAACCCTGCCAACACATGGCCCCGGGGGCCAGACGGGGCTAGACAGGGCCAGGCCCCGTCCAAATTGTTGTGAATTTCCATCCTTTCTAATGACGTCATTCTGCATTATTTTAGACAGATTTCGCTCTCTTATAGTTAAATATAAGCCTTTAAGTTTGCATTCACCATTGTAAATGAAGGTGGGTAACATATTGTTCACGTAAGGGTTATGGGTGTACAGCGATCAAAAGTTGAATAGCATAACCTACTGTACGGAGAATTAGGAAAGGGAAAATACTGGTAACGTAAATGTGGGCTTATTATCAAGGAGATCTCCTTGCTCGAGCATGGCGTCCCCCTGAGCGTTTTTTTTTTGAGGACGGGGCCAGACGGGGCTATCGCGTCCACAGCCCCGTCGTAGCCCCGTCCGTAGCCCCGCCCAGACGGGGCTAGTGCTAGCATGGTCACTATCTATAGTGAATGAAGGTGGTAAACATATTGTTCACGTAAGGGTTATGGGTGTACAACGATCAAAAGTTGAATAGTATAACCTACTGTACGGAGAATTAGGAAAGGGAAATACTGGTTACGTACGTAAATGGGGAGTTACTATCAAGGAGAGCATGGCGTCCCCCTGCGCGTTTTTATTTTCGAGGACGGGGCCAGACGGGGCTGGTGCTAGCAGGGAACCATCCCATATGACATTACCTGTACATGTCATCCACTAGATGAATAGCTTCGGTCGGATACGCGAATATGGATTCCCCTGTACAACAGGTTTACGCTAAGGTATCAGACGAATTTTCAAAATGATTGTGATATGAACCAGGGCTAATTAGTTTATTAGCCAATTGTGCGTAAAACCTAACTCTGCATCCATCCTTCTAAGGATTAGCTGTAGTAAATGTGATTCCACCCTCCCCCATTCCATTGCCAAAGGGAAAGGAGGAATACCATAATGTACCTATGGGGAAATGTACTTTTTTAAATTATTTACCTGACTGTCGTTCACTTGCGTCAGTTGCTTAAATAGCCGTGGATATCAGTTATCATCCATTGACGAAAATCGGCCACGAATAAACAAATGCGTTATTCAATTCCCAGGTTAACATTTTAAGTCTGTATCGTTTACTCGGGCCAGACTGCGCTGAAGACGTGTACCCTTCCGTAATCCACTTCCATTAACAACATACTACTCAAACCTTACAGGTAGACATTATTGATTGGTTAATGTTGGACATCAAACCGTCGAATCACCCACGTGCTTACCTTTTAAACTATTCGAGGATGTCTTTATCATGCTACCAACAGTTTGGCTATAGATAACCTTCTTTAAATAATTATAGCGTTGTGAGAAGGACATGCAGAAGCTCGGAGGAAGTACAAAATTTAGATGTGCAGATACTTCAAACCTAGGTGTAATTGCCCATCCGATACGCGAATATAAGGATGTGTACGGTAGGAGAATGCACACATGTTTGGCCGCGCACAGGCTTCCGCGACATATACGTAGGAGCGTTTAGTAACTCAGCTACTAGCGCTCATTATTCCGGGATTTCAGTGAAAATGGTCTCGAATCGAAGTCACACCCTAATAGCAAAGAGTTACGAATTTTTTCCGAATCGGAGGCGATTCGTACCCTTAGTTTCGACCGGCCGGAAGCGAATCGAATACGCCACTGTCAAGCGAAACGGTTGCGAATCGACTCCGATCGCTCGTAACTCAAAATTTTCAGGTAAACGGCAGTCTACTTATATCCGTTATCAGCGACCCCCCAGACCCCCATCCAGGTTTTGCACCCTACCGGCCCCTATGCTTACTGCTAATACCGTTTCTATCAAAGACAGTAAGTAATGCGTTATTTAAATGGAAAAAATTTATTTACAATTTAAGAATCTTTAAATGTACAAAAAGGTCATTGTTCCGATGACGGGCCCGCGCCACCAATTTGTTTTTGTGAATCTGCAACGGAAACAATTGAGATTAATTTCTATAAAAAATAAGTTTTCAATTACATTAAATTAAATGTATTTATGTTAAAAGCAGACTCACTGTTAATATTGGTCTTAATTTGCCTTTTCAAAAGCCTATCATATGCCCGCTTGAAGGCGTTTTTCATTGCCCGCTCCAACTGGTGACGGTCGGAGCGCTGTCCTCGATTCCAGTGGTCGAAGACCTCTATAATAAAATCCATCAGCATACATGCAGTGCAGGTCTTACCTAGAACCAAATTGTACAGAGGCGTTCCGAAGAACGGCCTCTTTCCTTGTTGTCGCCCATAAAAGGTGACAAAGGACGTAATGTCTTCGGAGAACAGCGCTCCGAACACTCTATCAACGAAGGACACAACGGTGTCCCCGCCAAGCGAGCTTAGGTATGTCACCTAGCAAAGTAATAAACTAGTAAGTTACATAGCTTACCAGTTGGTGGCGATAGGCCTCCTCGTCCAGGGCGTTAGTGATGGTGTCCAGTTGCTCTGGCGTGCCAACCGGATTCAAAGTGAATCTCGAGGACGCACAAGGGCTGCTTGGCATGCACCCGTGGCATTGGTTCTGGTTCATCATAGCTACTTGCTGTTGGCGTAGCTCAGATACCTGACCAATCAGCATGGCGACGGATTGCATTAGCCACCGTAAGCCCTGCCTCATACTGGCCCGGCGTCGCCGGCGAGGCTGCTGAGGTCCAGTGGGTCCACTTTGCCTTTGTGTATTAAAAAGACGCCTATGACCTACGCAAGTCACATACAGATGTTTGAAGCTTACCCGTATGAACTGGAGACGCACAACCTGGTATGGTTGAGCTGGAGTCTGTGGCCTCCCCTTCTGATCCCTGAAACGGAAAATCGGTAAACAATAGGTAGGCATACCGACGTCAATGCCACCTCTGGCATCTCCCCCAGGGCCATCACAGATAACGGCTGCCAGACGAAACTGCAGCGTTCTGTCGATGTCGTCGACACGAAGACCTGAACTTGATAGGGTTCTTAACTCATCAACTAGAGGTTTACAAAACGACTGAACATCGGGCGGCTTTCCCTGCCCACAATAAATTCCTACAGCAAAAATATGACTAAGAAATGGCTGGATAATTCTGCCTAAAATTGGCCAAAATTCTCTTTTGGTCTTCTTGTGAATAGGAAGACCGTCAATAGCCAAGTAAGCTACTATCTCTTTACCAACCACCTTCATGGAAAAGGCACGTAACTGCTCAGTCAACTGCTTTACAAGTCCTAAGTGAACGTACTCACCAGGATCGCAGCACGTCTCGAGAGGTTACCTCCACTTCTGTTGGGAGAGACACAGGACGCTCTTCAAATGGAGTTTGCCACTGCTCACTCATCGACGTCGATATGTCCAGTGAAGAGGAAATAGGGGTCTCTGTTGACTCTGAGCCTCTGGATGAAACTCTCGACGAAGATGATGACTTTGGCGGGTACTTCTTCCTCATTATCTCAGCAATTGCAAGGATACGGCTTCTAAACTCCCTATCGACACGCCTACGATAAGTTCTCCGACAAATTGGTCTGAACATGAAGAAAAGAAAACGGTTAAACACAATATTATGGGTTAATAGAAAAGGTAAGGCTCAGGACAGCTCTGCGTGCGCTCAGCAGCGTGTCAAGGCAGGAAGTGACGCCCATGGGCGCCTGCAGGGGCGACCACGCCAGGCAAGCACGCCGTGCTATCGATAAAAATCGATACCAATATCAGCGTACGCTCACTCATGCGCGCCCCTGGGAAAAATGCCGATACGGCTGCAGTCAGCCAATCAGAGGCCAGTTGCGAGCGAGACGCGAGCAGCGAGTCTCGATTCGCAAGTCATTGCTATTAGGGGAGAAAGGAAGGAAAATAGAGGAATATCATTATCTATTCTATGTTTATCAATGAGGCTATCTTTTATAAATTTGATTATTTTTAGTGCTATGTTCC